TTTTTTATGCTAGCAAAACTTTGAATTTTGCATAACGTAATTGTACAACAGAAAATTGTGATCAAAACTTTGATGTTGAATTATAGTTTTAGGCCAAAATCATTTCTATCAAAAATTTGATGTTGAATTATAGTTTTAGGCCAAAATCACTTCTAAAATTGATCCTCAAATTGTGATCAAATTTAAAAAAAAAAAATTATTTTCTAAAGATTTGGAATGCCAAGAGTTTTAATCAATAATGAAGAAAGTCATTTCTGTAATAAAAAAAAAGAAATAATCTTAAATAAATATGGAGTTTATCATAGAGTAACAATTACTTATCATTCTCAAAGTAGTGGTCAGTTTAAGATTAATAATATGAAAATTAAATGAATTTTAGAAAAAAAAGGTCAATTCAAATAAAAAAGATTGGGCAATTAAGTTAGATGATGCATTATAAGCTTATAGAACTGCTTATAAGACTTCAATTGACATAACTCCCTATAAATCAATTTATGAAAAAGCTTGTCACCTTCCTGTAGAATTAGAACATAAAACATTATGGACAATCAAAGAATTGAATTATAATTTTAAAATGACAAAAGAAAAAAGAAAAAAAAAGATTGATGCAGTTGAGTGAATAAGAAAAAAATAGAAATCAAGCTTATGAAAATGCAAGGATTTATAAAAAAAAAAGTTAAGAAATGGCATGAAAAAAAACTTCTTAGGAAAGAATTCACTCATGTACATGAAGTTTTACTATTTAATTCCATACTTAAATTTTTTTCTGAAAAATTAAAATCAAGATGGTCTGGACCATTCACTGCGGTAAAAATATTTCATTATGAAGCTGTGGAAATTAAGGATAAAAAAAGTATAAATAATTTTAAAGTGAATGACCATAGACTGAAATCTTATGTAGAGGGAGACATTGATCGAGTGCAAAATATAACTAAATTGGTTCATCTTGAAATAAAATAATTGGATAGTCTGGTATAAGACTTAAAACTTAGCACTTATAGGAGTCAACCCACGAACTTTTATTACATCCAGTGAACGTACGCTCCTCTACGTTCGGTTTTAGACCAAAACAGTGCAATACCGAGTTTTTTTAAAAAACTCGGTACTCGGTATTGCGCTTTTTTTGCCTAGATCCGAACGTAGAGGAGCGTACGTTCACTGGATAAAATAAAA